GTATGCACCAAGCCTTGAGGATTGGCTGTTTTCACTACAGAAACGTGGAGCCACCCCTAAGCTATTTATTATGAGCATGTATTGAATTTATAACCATTTTAAAGAGGTTTTCTTTTAAAAAGGGCTCTTCCCAAAGGTTGGCTGCCATTTCACTGGCATCAAAGGAGTATCTATTAGACCTAATTCATGACTGCTGGAGCCTCCCCCTACCCCTGACCCAAATTCTAGACTTCCATTTTGACTTAGGGCAAGAAAGAATTACTTCTGTTTAGGATGAGAAGCCTGGAAGTGAAGAGAAAACATTTGTAGAAGGAAATAAAACATAATGTGCCATTGGCCAGGTCATTGAATTGAAGTATATGACTCTATTAAAATTTTAGCTACTGCAGCTGTGTAATGCAGTAAAGGAAAGTTCTTGCATACAGATATTTTGTTCCACGGCATTTGTAGTTTCTCTGTATGTTCAACTGACTTCTGTCCTAAATGCCTTGCAACAAATATATGATCTTGCCTCCACTTCTAGTGGTGTCTAGTGGAAATCATCCTGACTTCTTTAAAAACAAAATGATTCAAAGAAAATTGCTACCATAAACAAAGTTGAAAGACTAGGAGAAGATATTTGCAACATATGTAGCCAACAGAGGGACTAGTATCTATGATATATAAAGAGGTCCTATAAATAAAAAATTCTTCAACTCCATAGAAGAAAGGTGAAGAATACCAATAGGTGAACTGTAGAAGAAGAAATGCAAATGGCCAGTAAACTCACTACTAATTACAAGAAATTAAATGAAAACAAGACAACATTTGTCCATTTGATAGCAAAAGTTTAAGAAAGTGATAACTGGTTAAAGATAAGTAGGAGCACAAAGTAACAGTTTCTATAAAAATGATAAGTGCAAATAAATTATAGCCCAGCAATTTCACTTCTAGAAATGTATTCTTAAGGAATACACATGTGCTCATGAACATAGGTACAAAACTATTCAGTGTAGTGCTATTTTAAAAGCTAAAAATTAATCTCACTGTAAATGTCCATTAACAGAAATATGGTCAAGTTAATTATGATATGCCTATACTGTGATTATTATATGCAACTGTTTAAAAAAAAAGATAAGGTGGTTCTGTGTTTACTGGCATGGAAATATATGTATTTTCCCATTAGTGGAAAAACCAAGTCAGAAAAAATATATAGCATATATACTATAGCATACATAGTATGATCCCACAAGTATAAAAATAAATGAGACTATATGTGTGTATAGTTAATATACATGTGAATTCATAGAAGAATTCAGCCTGTGCCTGAAACTCTTAATAGTGTATATCTCCAGAAGGAATAGGATAAGTGAGAGAGGTTAAAAGGAATTAAACCTTTTTCACTATAATACCCAGTATTTTTTAATTATTTCTTTGGAACATACCATAATTTATGCATTACTTGAATGAGTCAATAAATAATCATCAAAACCCATATTTTGTGAAAATGCAGAATATGGGTGAAGCAGATCAAGACTGTTACAGCTGAGGTATATTTTGCTCTTTAATGAAAGCCTTTATTTAGTTCATGGTTTAGGAAATGAAAGAAGATTCCTCAGTTAACAAACCCCCTGGGTCCAGAGCTGCTTCCACAAAGCTGGGCTGTTAGTAGAGGAGGAGGTTCCAGGTTCAACCCAGCGGGCAGGCAGAGAAGAAGGTTCTGCTTATGCTCCCTTCAGTGTGGCTCTGCCCCTGGTCAGATAGAAGCGTCGGATTGTTCTCCCCTCACCCAAAGCAGGTCGAGAAAGAGGGCAAAGGAAGGAAATCTTATGCCACCAAAGTCCAATGAGGAGGGCATTTATACCCCAGAATACTTCCCGGTGCTGATCGTGTCAGTCAACCTCCAATAGCCGGGTGTCAACGATATTAGGGTGCACCTTTCTTAGATGAATACCACACTGGTTCCAATATTCTCTTAAATGAGGCACTTAGCCCAGTGTTCCTCAAGAAGTCTTTATTTAAGAAAAGTAAATTATGACCTTTCTAATCTATAAATTAAGGGATGATCATTTATCAGTTTATTTGCAAAATAATCAGTAAAGCATTCCTTTAAGAGTTTTTCTGATACACATAAGTATTTGCTGAAAGAAAAGAGATCTGAGCCTTACATTGTTAAAAGTCACTCTGATCATTGAAGATCAATCAGTAATGAAGATGAATCATCTCTGAAAGTATAATCTGTCATTGGGCACATGTAATTGAATTTGCTAAAAAATTGATTCATATATAGATCTTGAGGTAATATACTTTGCAGAAACAAGACGTAATGCATTTTACCAGATAACCTGAACAGGAACATTTTCACTTGATTAGGCTTTCCATAAATTACTGAGGAATATTGAAAATGTTTATATCATTTCCATAAGCATGTATGGTGTGTGGGGAGAGTTCAGGATTTAGACAAATATATTTTCTTTCAGCATCAGCAGGGACCAAATTATCATCATCTTTTAGAGAACCACTTTACTAGAAATGTTCATTCTTACATGGTCTAATCGGGAGGGTTTTTTCTGTTAAATGCAACTTGTTTCTTCACTCCTCATTAAAAAAAAATAATAAGTGATCATGTTTCTAGAACAAGAAGAAATACTCAAGTGTATTTTCCCCTTACCAATTCCAAACTGACGGTATTCATCTTCTACTGACCCCAAGTAATAGGTTTTTAAATAGTGTTTTTTTTTTCTTTAACACAAGTTAAAGAACTTGTGTTAAAGAACAAGTAGTGCATATTTGTTGTAGAAAATGTAGAAAATACAGACAAGTCAAAAAGAAACAAAAATTACCTGTAACTCTTCAGAACAATCACTGTTAATACTTTGAAATGCATCCTTTCAGTCTTTTAAAAATGTACATAATACATTATATACATAATGACAAAAATAACAAAATGACAAATATTCTACATCATTTTTAAAGGCCGTATAGTATTACCAGTCCCCTGGATTGTTCTCAATTTTTCACTGTGAGCAACGCAGTAATGAGTATCTTTGTTGTTAAATCCTTCTTCACATCCATAAAATTGGTATGCCTTTGAAAGCTTATCGTCACACAGTTTGAGCCCTTCTCTTAACACTGAGCTAATTAAAGATAAAGAATGATTTCTGTTAGGATTCACTAGACCAAAGAAACTAAACGCCTTTGTATTTGTTTTCCAAATTACTGTCCCACCAGTGAGAAGGGGGAGGAAAGTATCTGATGAATACAGGAATGGAGAAATTTCTTGAAATTTTAAACTTTTAGCTTAAAATGACCTTAGTAGTTACTTGGGTTTATTTGTGTTTAAGAAATCTTCATGACCAGCCATTGAAATTATAGTGATTGCATTGAGAGAATGTGTTATTATTGTTATAACTAAGATGCATTTGTTCTAACCACAAGGCAGCATCTCTTTTGCTTTCCAGTTACCTCGATTTTCTAAAAGAAAAGCATGCTCTTTGCTTGGCCAGACTGCTGCTTAGCACTCTTGATACTTACATTGCTTGTGGACAGCATTTTTCATTGACAGTTTCAGGGTGTTGGGGGCGGGTATCTGCCACTAAATAAAATAGCCCAGGTCTGGATGCAGAATCTGCCTCCCTCTTGGCCCCAGACCACACTGAATTAAATCATAAACTTCTGGCAACTCTGCCCTTTGGAAATGAGAATCTCAAATGACACACATGGATTGATACAAAAAGACACCAAATCACATGATGCAGAAAACACTTGAGGAAAAATTCCAGCTGTGAATACCTGCTCTAAACCCCCACCAGTTATATTAGTGATCAGGGGGGTCTATTAACCCATTGGTCAGCATACTTCCATTATAAAGAGGCATGAAGTCAGATTCCACCACAAGAACAACAGAGGGAGGAATACCTGTCTGGGAAAGTTGCTGGTGAAATTTTGTAAAATAACAAAGGAGTGCAGTAGGGGTGGGAGATAAAACAACAGAAGTATTTTAAGTGAGACTAATCGTTATTTTTATTCATTTCACGAACTGAAGATGGATGGGTTCTTGAAGATGGATGGGTTCTTAGTTCAAGTTTTTTATCAGTTGGATGTAGACAGGGTTTCTCAACGTTGGCACTGTTGACATTTTGAACCAGGTGATTCTTTGCTTCGGGGAGGTTCTGTGCTTCACAGGATGTGCTGTGGCATCGCTGGCCTCTGCCCTCTGAAGCCAGTAGCATCACCGTCCCAGTTGTGACAACCAAGATTGTTATAAATTGTGCTCCCCTCCTGCCCCATTAAGAACCACTGGATTATGAGATCTTTATCCTGAATTACTGTAAAAACTGCAGACTTGGGCCAGATAGCAAAATGTCATGTGCCATTTTATTTATAGATCAGTGTAGGTGGAAGTAGTGCCAGCCATCTCCAAGCTGTTAGACTAGACGTGAAGTTCAGTGTAGACCTGCTCTCTCTGACACCATGTATTCTGTGCAAAAATACCTCTCCCTGTGAGCACTGCACCAAATCTCACTTGTACCAGTGAACGTGATTTGTCTGCCTTTTACGTCGTGTTTCCTGTAATAGCAATGAAAGTGTCCTCTCTGTTGTTGAATGCATTGATTTAAAGAATCTCAAATCTGTTTTGAAAGGCATATGGAAGGTAAGTATGAAACCAAACAAACCTGACCCTGTCCCTGCAGGGATCTTCTAACAATGCTTTAGGAGATCTCAGGCTCTGGCACTGCCCACGTGCTAATATTTTCTGCCCATGTAGCTCATTTTTACAAGAATCACCTCTAAATAATTTCCACTCTTCTCTGTTCTAAGACTATTTTGACTTGACTTCCTTGCACTCACTCCCCTTTGGCTGGTTTAGCTAACTTTATGTACTCTTCATAAAGTTAGTGAATTCCCTGCTTTTTAAATCTCTCTTTGGCTTCTGCTAAGCTACCGTCTTTCCCTAAAGTCTCCCCATTGAAAGTTTGCATTTAATAACGGAAGTTGCCAAAATCTTGACCTTCTTTCAGATATGACAATGGATGATGTTCGAGAATACGAGAAAAACATGCATGAACAAACCAACATAAAAGTTTGCAATCAGCATTCCTCCACTGTGGATGACATAGAGAGCCAGGCCCAAACAAGTGTATGTAGAATTTTTAAAACATGTTGCCCACCCTTTTCCATCATACACATAAACTGATCTTTGAAATACTTCAAACGCTCAATTCTCAACCTTCCACAAAAATGAGTTGTTTCCCAGAGTCTGTTGGTGAAGAAGCCAAGCTAGGTCTAAATTGGACAGCGTCACCTCTTGCTTCCAGAAATTGCCATTCTTGAAAGCCACTTGACTTGGGGGTTGTAGGGTTGTATTGGTCATAAAATAAGAACATGGAGACAGGAAACATTTTGTATTACTAGTGAATGACCCACATTGTAAAAGAGCCAAGGGGTAAAAATGGATGTCATAAGAAAACTAGAACATCATGCCAGTAACTTTTGAAAACATAGTGAACACTCAGTCATTCATTCAAGGAACAGCTTATGGCTCCCCTGGTATTTTAGGTTTCTTCACATTTGCTTTGAGATGCTTTCTATGGTTCTTTATAGCTGTTTTGGCCAATCAGTTCCTTTTTATTTAGGTTAATCTCAAGCTGGGGCTGCCATCTGTGCAGGCACTGGCTGAGCAGTGAGGGTGTATGAGCTGAGAATGTGCTGGGCCATACAGTAGATGTAGCCTGGGACTTAAGCCTCGAAAACAGAGGGTTATTTAGTGGCACAATAGAAACTGAGAGCTGACTGTATGGTGTATGCCCGCATTGGAAATAGGGTTCTCTCTGGATCATTCAAGCTAATGAAAAGGAGATACAGATAACAAAGAAAAATGTAATCTCCAAGTCATTTATTTGTATCTTTGGCCAGACCTGTGGTCTCTTTGGGTGCCAGCTTGAGCCCACATGTCTGTTAGCCCCAGAATAATACATTTTTAAGAAATTGATAATGTGGTTACAGAAAATTGAGAAATGGCTGGTGATGTCAATGGACCCTTTAAAATTGTGAAGACCTTTTGGTTGCACTTTGGAAAGGTTTAGTTATGTTTTCAGAGCACGTCTTTGGAATATGCCCTGCAAGGTTCCTGCGCTGCTGGGAGATGCATGTGACTGCCCTTGAGAAATGAAACGGCCCTAACTCGTCCTCCCCATTTTGCATGCAGTGGTTGGATTTGCAAAAAACTGTTTTGACAAGACTTCTGTGAGGTGTTCCTCCCTCTGCACAGAGTGATTCCAGTAGGACTATCCCATCCTCTCTCCCTGTTCTAAAGTCAGAAATGCCTGTCCAGGAAACTGTCTTCGAATTTCCATCACTTTCAACTACCTTTTCTTTTAGGAATGTTAGCACTAGTTCTGTCAGCCACTCTCTGAAAACGGCTCACGCCAAGTATGACTGGACAAAGGAAGCCAGAGGGAGGGGCGGCGCCACAGGTTCAAAACATACCCCACACAGGGCTTTTCGCGTTCAAAGTTCTCAGGGCTCACAGCGTTAAGGCGCCTTGCTTGGTTTTCTTTCGGTTTTACTGCAATTATTACCATTAGAAAGTCAGTTTCTTATTTGCACAGTGATACCTAGAATGCTTGTTCCCCGGGGAGAGCCCGGGCACTCTGGCTGCAGCTCACTGTCTTTCCCATGACTTCGGCGCCAGAGATGCCTATCTGCCCAGAAGTTACACAGAGTGTTATTTTGAATGCTTACAGCATTTCCCTTATTCGGAATTCCATCAAATTGGGCAGCATTTATTTTTCCACTGTCTTTCTTCTCTATCATAATAAAATGCACTTGAAGTAAAGAGGCTGCTGTCTACCTCAAAGAGAAATTGCATGGGTGCTCAATAACATTGAAATCCTCAACCTGAGTAGGGACAAATTAGATTTGAAGTTATGCAAAATTAACATCCATGAGCACAGCAATAAGGAAATAACAGTCTGCTTTTCAACTGAGCAGTCTCCATGCCTTCGAGGACTGCAACTCTGCAAAGGAGTGTGTATAAAATCCAGATTCTGTGCTCTGGATGATTTCTGCCCCCTGCTGGCTGTGTGGAGTAGAGCACTGCATTCAGCCGCTTGTTCAGCAAGTCACATTCTTCAAAGATCCTCATTTATTATAATAGAAACATACACCAACCACTGAAATTTTTCTGAGAATCTTTACTTTGAAGTAAAGACCTCTTTTTAATAATTTTTATCTGATTTCTGGGCTTGTTTAATAGTGTGAGCTTTTTCAATTGGTCCATTCACAGGGACTTTTCTTGTTGCATTCTGAATTTTGTATTACATCAATGCAGTCATGATTTTTTATTTTGATTTTTTAAATTTAATTTATTTTAAAAAATTTTTTCTCTTTCAGAAAATTTTAATAATTGTTCCCAGGAAATCCTCTTAAGGAATTGGGTTTTTTTTAATATTTCTGGTTTGCTCATATATGACCTAATACATATGGAGGCTAATAATTAATACTGTGTTATGAATATTCATTCCATAGTTAATATTTCCAAAGTGGCTATATTGTTTCATGCTAGTTCATGCAATATCATCTAATGAAGGTTCAACTGTTGAGTTCATGGGATACAATAAAAATGAAAAATGGGTCTCTGGGAAGCTAAAACAAACATAGAAAATCCATGGGCAGCAGATTTCACCTTTTACTCAAAGATGACCCCTTAGGCTTTCTCTTACTGTTACTTCTAATAAGCCCAGTTGCCCATTTTCCCTGTTACCAGTAAAAAAAAAATGGCAAAATGTACCAGGGATAGTGAGACTGATAGTAATTAATAATAACCGTGATAATATTAGCAGTGATAATAGTAATAATAATAATATTGGAGTTCCCAAGAATTAAAAAAAGATATCAAATTATAAAATGCAAATAAGCCCTGAGAAAGAAGTCATTACTTACTGATTATAGCATGGTGATGTCTTTTCATTATGTCTAAAAGGTAGCAAGTGTTCATAACGCATTAAATATATGAGGGAAAGATTTAAATTTAAAAGAATTTTCTTTTTACTTTCTCAATAAGAACAATTCAGATATTTGGAAAATCTGCATCATCTGACAATTCCTGTTAAATGAGGCATCACTGGATTTTCTTAATTGCTAAATAATGCTTTTTTTCTTTTAAATCAAATTCTCACTCATTAAAGGATCCTCTTTTTTTGTTGTTCTCTATTCTTTTTCTTTTATGTTTCCCTGAGAAATGGTTTTATTTTCTTGGATTTCCTTGACTTTGGGGATAATTAGAAGGGTTTGCTGTTATTGGTATCTTATTTTTTAAGCTGAATTAATTAAAACACTGATCTAAACAGTCCAAGGAGGGATACACACAGTTAGAAAATCAGTAACTCCCAGAATGCACAAAGTTATTTACTGAATAAGAAGATAGCCCATTGAGAAATTCTGATGATTTTTAATTGTTTTACCTGATAAAGGTATACTTGTATTTTCATGATCTAAAGTAGATAAATAATATGCATCATTTTGGGGGCATTGATCGCCTTAATTACCTTCCCCTATTGAAAAGATGGCCAGTTCTAATAATAGCTCCACACATCACACCACACACACACACCCGGTCTAGTTCTGTACTCTCCTGATTGGCTCTTATTCATACTAAAATACTCACTGAAGAGTGCTTTGAAAAATCGTGGATGGATATTCATAAAGGAATATTTTTTCAGAGGTTTGTCTCAGTGAAAAGAAAAATTACAGAGTTTAGCATTTCGGTGACAATTTGGGTTTGTAATCTGGACAAGCCTCTTCATGATAGGGTTCCTATAGTTCCTTTAAAAACGGGCATAGAGATGAAATCCATTTGCATGGCCTCTAAATAACTGCTCGTTTTCCTTTCTTTTTTTTCTCCCTGAAGACATGACAATGGATGAAGTCAGAGAATTTGAACGAGCCACTCAGGAAGCCACCAACAAAAAAATTGGCGTTTTCCCACCTGCAATTTCTATCTCAAGCATCCCCCTGCTGCCTGCTTCAGTCCGCAGTGCCCCTTCCAGTGCCCCATCCACGCCTCTCTCCACAGATGCACCAGAATTTCTGTCTGTTCCCAAAGATCGGCCCCGGAAAAAGTCAGCACCAGAGACTCTCACACTTCCAGATCCTGAGAAAAAAGCCACCCTAAATTTACCTGGCATTCACTCTTCCGATAAGCCATATCGGCCCAAATCAGAGTAACTTCATAGGAATACGTCATGGGGTTTTGTATTTTTGTTTGGGGTTGTTGTTTTTTGTTTTTTTTTAAAGAATCTTCTGATATTGAAAAAGACTGTTTTGTCACTTAAACATGTTCCTTTGATCTCTGAGTATGCATGTGGTCAAGTAATTTAACATATAATATGATTCCCTAAGTATGCCACACAGCGTCATGTTAGTTGTAAATGTAAGACTTGCAAAGGACAGAAGGAATCTTCTGTAGACACAGCTGGAAGCCAGGGAGGAAGCCTTGCTTTGGGCATTTGATGAGGTTGGCGTGGACTTCGAAGGTTAATAAATGAAAGCTTTGCATCATTGTGTACAAGGTGTGGTAAAATAGTGAAGTCAGTTTCCTCCCATCAAACCTGAAATTCTCAAAAATACTCTCAGGCGTTACATACCTAATTGTTAAATTTTGAACTGCTCATCACCAGTACTTGAATACCAATAGTTACTGAGATTCCTATTTTGGTTAGTCTGACTCAGGATTTGGGGCCTAATTAACTATTTAAATTTTTTGAAAATTTTAACTATCAACATATGGAGGCTCCAAGTGCAATTAATGGCAACTTATTTATATCTTTCACAGAATTTAATAAAGATTCCACTTGTTTCTGTCTTTTAATAACTTTTCCCTTTGTACCCTTGTGGCCTCAGAAATTGCTAAGAATTACATGGATAAATGTAATCTTAACTGGACCATAACTGACTGATTTTGGAAAGGTTTGGTTTAGGAACCAAGAGGCTCAGAAGAGGTGAGAATCTTTTTTTCTCCACAGGTACCAAAAAACCTTGACTTGTCAGCTTCCATCATCCATTGAGATTCTTAGAATTTGCAATTAATTGAATAGAATTCATTGACTATTTGCCCATTCAAAGAAGTTCAAGGGTTGAGTAAGCTAACTGGATTTTAATGCTGTCAGAACATATGATTCAGGAACCCTACAAAAGAGAATTGCCTCCCATCCCCCTCCTGGTTTTACTCATAATAACATTCAGATTTACCAGGAACAGATTGCCCATCACCAGACCTTAAAAAAGACTGTCACTCTCTTGCTCCTTACTTGAAATCTAAATATTGGGAATGTCACTGAAGTAGAGTAAATACCGTCAAGTGGGAGGAGAGAATGAGCGGAATTGCTGACTCCTATTTCTTTGTAGGGTAAAAAGGAGTGATGAAAGATGCCCCTCTGTCTAGCTTTCTTTCCTGCTAGGAGTGGTAGAATCAAGCTTGACGGGAGGCAAGATCATTCACCAAAGTGACAGGAAGAGATCTCACCTTTGATCAAAAAGAACAATCTCCCACCTTTGCACCTCGCTGCCTTTAAATGGAATGGCAAGCAAAATCTAGCACTTACTTTTGTCCTCCAAGGGAGGAAGAGAACAAGGTAATTGAGCAAGTTCAAGGCCCCACCTAGCCTTCATGACCGTAACCTTCCAACCTCAGGAAAAGGACCTTCCCAAAAGAGATTCCAAAGGAAACCATAAACCAAGGAGCATGTTCTCCTTCCTCACACAGCCTCAGCCATAGACCCTGCCTGCTTCTCTCTCAGTGCTCAGCACTCTGCATGGTGTCTTTCAAATTGACAAACTCTCCCAAGGTGCAGGCGCTGGCCCCATGAGCCCAGCACCAAGTGTTCTAAGTCATTTGTCAGACTGTTAAGATAATTTCTTTATTTATAGGTCGACATGTAGCTTAAAAAATAAATAAACCCAGGACTCAAAGGAAACAGGTTGCAAATAGCTTAGATCAACAGTACATCTCTTCCCTAAGAATGATAGCATTGTAGTAAGACATCTTTGCATGAGATGGTAGCATGGTTTTTGCTTGTGGGAAAACAATCTTTTATCAAACCCCTTGGACTTCTCAATGGCTTCCCCTCTCCACACAGCAGTACTTAACAAGAATGTTTGGCTTTAGAATGCAAAAGTCTACTTTGAGAAGACACTGACATAGTTGTATGTATTTGCTTATCATTTGCAAGCTGAAATCAAAATGGGATGGGGTCATTATTTTCACATAGAAAGTACATATTGCGTGCAGCTTGCTAATACATCTGGCACCTAGTTTTTCCATTAATGCCATTGCTATTTTTCCTTTTTGTAAAGTAGCTTCCGCTATCAAAAGATCAACACTTCTTTAGAAAGTGCTTTAGAAAGCTACTTTCTGATTTTCTTCTATGAGTTTTCTTTCTCTTATGGCCAGTACATACCATGGACATCAGTTGCAAAGCCATCAATGATAGTGTGATTCTTAGCCAACAAATGTGTGTGCTCTTAAAGTATGTTCAATTGTAGTTTGTGTGCACTTAAAGGAGGGGGTGCAACTATTCCTTTAGCTGCTTTGAATATTTAATCCAGTGATCACAAGGCATAAATGACTTCAATATTTTATCTATCTTGATTTCCAAGTGTCATTTCACAGTCTCCATACATGAATTTGTTAATTGTGGGATACAAGAATGCAAAGATTGTATATATAGAACAATAATACCTATAAGGATGGAAACTCAATGGCTGCATGATGGAAACTTAATAGAAGAAAAAAGCAGAAACTTGAATTTATTAAGCATGTTTTGGGGAAAAATAGAATCTTAACTCAGTGCCTCTGTCTGCAATGTGGAAACCTTCAACTTTGTTCACCAAAACTGTATTATACCTGTATATATATAAATATAGTATAGTGAATCAGACACCACCCATTTTAAGTCTCTGGTAGCCAAATAAAATAACTAATCTGTAGAATAATACATACGTTCACCCCATCTTCATCTCTCGTGTTCGTGGAGACCATCAAAATGACCATAAATTTCATTCCTTTGGATGGAGTTCAAATTATGAAATGCTTTTCATTGGCTGTAGCACAGCATTGCTGCTTTGGCTATGCTTTCCCTGGACAAGAAGGTCTCGGTGTTTTTACCACATAAACTTTGGCGCAAGTCAGCTCTGAAGACCATTTCGTTTTCCCACTTTTGGGCTGTGATGACCAAAGGCCAAGCATGACAAGAAAAGAGTCCATGGCATTTCTCAGTCACCACCGTCACACCCAAAACAATACGAGCTTGTTCGTTACAAACCCTTCTGTTTTGGTTTTGCAGCTGTGTGTGGGGAAAATCGTTTTGATTTATTTGGAGGTATTTATGAACCATGTTTTGGTTGGGATAATAAATCTCCAAATAGCGCAGTTATGGGTGCAAACACTTAAGAACACAAGACCCCTAAGAGTAATCATTTGGCTTCCTTTCAAGACACTGTAATAAACAGTGTCATATATAAAAAGAAAATAGGTTCTGACACTTCTCAAAAAATCATTTTTCCATGAAAATTTCAGAGCTAATGTATTTATGTGTATTTTTAACTTCTTTCCTCAGCATCTCTTCATGGCTCAGAGACAACAAGGTCACTGGCTGGCTTAGGTCAATTGGAATCTTACTTTTCAGAAGGGCCAGAGTATGATTTACTCTATATGATGTGAACTCAGAAAAATCTAACAGAGAAAAATTGTCTGAATAATTTAGTCCCTTTCTGATCATCTGATTCTGGAGGCTCGGTAACGGTCTGCCGTCTGAGTTGTATTCTTGAAATTTAAAAACAAAAAATCTGTCCGGTGACTGCAATTGATCATAAATAGGCTACTTAAAGCTATTCATTCTTGCTGAAACTGAAGTGTTACACAATAGCACACCATCTGCGTACAGAGGCAACACATACCAGGTTGTTCTGTGTTCTACCTTCAAACGGTCTGTTTGCATTTGAAATATAAGTGTTTAAGCTTTTTAGGAATTAGTGCAATAAGAGAATGTGAACATGTTGAGAACTTATAAGATGCCGTTATTAATTGTGATTTTGTTGTTAAGTTAACAAATGCTCTAGGATAAGCCTCAATGTTTTTGCTAAAATTGAAAAGCATGTCTGTTGAATTGCAAGTCTCCCTTCAGCTCCTATGTATGGCCAAGAAGGGGTTTTTTTGAGTTGATGTTACACCTCTGCCACTTATATGTAACTTCAAGTGTGATTGTTAGTGTTTACATTTCAAGCTGGGATCTTGATTAGTTAAATAAGTCAGTATACCACTGCACTGCCACTGCTGAAGGACCAAGTTTTGGAATGCACAGTGTTCTAGACAACAGGCAAAGCAAACAAAAGTTGATCCTCACACATGTCATCCTTTTGTGTCATTTTATGGCTGTTTTGTGTTTTTTTCCCCAGTTATTTATTATTGTTAATAACTTACTTTTTCTTACATTCTATTGTAAATAAAGTACAAAGCAATCTCCTTTCCAAGTGTAGCTTCCCCTCTCTTTCTCAGCTCTTCTCAAGGGAATGTTCACAACTCTTCACAAAGGCAATTGTGACCTGCGGGTTGGTGGAAAGGGAGCTACCGAGGAAGAAGGGACAAGGAATTGCCAGTACTTAGACACGGTTCTAGGGGACTTGTGTGCAGGGAGACTTGGCGGGCTGGTAGGCATATGGTGCATTCAGGGCAGGACCCTTGGTAGGAAACAACTGGGTGCCAGTTCCAACTACCCAGTCAAAAAATACCCAGTGTGGATGTCACCTAGGAGGATACCCAGATTCATTCATCCATCCAACAGGTGCACCCTCAGCACATGTGAGACAACAGACTGAGTGGTAACAGAAAAGCCACCCTGAGGGAATCAGTCACACCACCACCCCAGTGGGACACCAGATCCTCTCCGTTGCAGGGTGACTCCGTCTAAGGTGAGCCAAAATCGTTCTGATGTCCATCTCAAGTATCTCCTCTTGTTCACAAAGGGACCTCTGGGCATGAGTAGAAGGAAGAAATAGTTTACTGTCG